TTTTTTTTTTTTTTTTTACGTTTGTCTTTTAAGTTTTCGTCTCGAATGATTTGACTTGAATACTTAACTTTCACTTTGATCTTTATTTCGAGTTCGATTTATATGTTGATTTTGGCAATACTTGATTGATTTTAATATTGAACTATTATCACTCAAAATCAATGGTTAGTAACTATATTAATCTTATTTGTTATGATAAAAAACATTAAGGATGAAATCAACTATATGTTGACACGTTGGCTCATTATACATTCTTTTAAAAACTTTTAGATAAAAGGGGCATCGGCTTGTAAGAGTTTTTTTTTTTTCCCCTAAATGTGTACGTGTTAGTTTGAAAATATAGCAAAAAGTCGAGCACGTAAATTCAGTATTTAATTCTAAATTGTATGTAGTAAAAGAGAGATGACGAATCTCGTTGTATCACTAACTTCATATGTTGTGTGATCATTTGGATGAAATTTCCTCAACTAACAATTTGAACATAAGGTCTCAAAAAGAACCATGTCGGGCTAATTAGGCCCAAGTGAGCCAAACCCCCAGTTTGGCTAAACCCGGCCCAAGACCAAGGGGGTCAACTGGAGATCATATTTTTTGCCAAAAATATAATTATTATATTTTTTTTACACCGTAGTTGCACTTTTTTTTTTTTTTGGAACAAAAGTGTATTGTGCTTGCTTAACATATTAAGCACATTCTATCAGATTAATTCTACGATCAACATTGAAACACCATTGTCATCACTCATTTCTAGTTTCTACGTAGCTCCACTATTGATGTTGAAACCACCATCAATTCATCAACGTCGAATTAAAATGCCACCCCGTCTCCAGGGACAAATTCAGAATCGGATTACAGGCCTGACTAATACGTAAAAAAAATAACCGTCCCTGCCCGTCTCACAACCAATGTCATCACCACCACAAACAACCCCATCTTACCACCACTTCCATTATTGAGGCAACTTCACCACTAATAAGAATCTAAAAGCCATCATACTCGTCGTTGTCACAATAACGATCGGATCTAAGAAATCATGTAGTTGTACTTCATCCTCGAGGTCTTGGGAAAAACCCGCCTAACAAACAAATGAGTAAACTATCCAACCCACGTGTAATATTCATACTTTTTATGGCTTGACATTTGCTTGTTGGATGACTATAATGTTTCACTTTGTTAGCTTAATTTGTGCTTGATGGAAACTATGATGGAAGTTTTTATTGTTGGTATATCTGATGACTTGTACGGAGTTTGGTATGTTGGGTAAATATCGAATTTTGTTGATCAAATCTCAAGTTTGAAGTTAGGCAATCAATCAAACTTGAGATTTACACGAAAAAACTCGATAGCATCATATATTGAGGTTGTTGTACAAATCTCGAATTTGCTCGAATATTTAACTTCAAACTCAAGATTATACAGCCAACTCGACATTTTCTCAACATACTCAACTTTTGCATGCAAATTTGAGATTTTCCTAGCAAACTTAAAATTTTCATAGCAAACTTTTGATTTGATTTGCTAATTCGCCAAATAGTTATAAAATTCAATATTTTTTTTAAAATTAATTTGGGCCAAAGATCAAACCAATAATACAAATCAGACAAAACCAAATTGAATCAAGGGAAAAATGCATTTATCCTACTTTATCTTTACCCTATTTCAAAAATAAAAAAACAACTTTCACATTTCAAAAATCAGATTTTTTGACCTATATATACACATATTTCTAAATATTTATTTATATATTTAAATATATAAAAAGATATAAATAAATAAATTATTTAATTAATATATATATACACACAATTAACCCACCCCCACCGCTCCGGCGATCGGTCCGGTAACTTTTCCGGCGACTGTTTCGGCGACTGCTCCGATTCCGACGACTAAGGTCACAAGTCACAGCTCAGGTCACAAGTCACAGTCCAGGTCACAAGTCACAGCCCAGGTCACAACTCAGGATTTTGTTCATAATCACGGGTTATTTTTTTTTTTTTTTTAAATAAGGATTACTGGTTATTTTCAAATGATCACGGCACATGTAACAAAATATTTTTGACATGACTTAGATTAATAATTAGTCACAAATTATCGGATTTTAAGGTCACGGTTAATCCATTACGCGGTCACAATTAGTCTATTATGCGGTCCAGTAGGTCACGAAACACAACACAGATTCAAACACCACCTCAGCTGCCTGGCACCACTTCACCGTCAAACCGCCAATAAAAACAGCCTAAAAATTCCTTATACATCGAACTGAGAATGGCTGACCGTGAAGGTCGCGACAACGCAGTGCACTTCCTCAATTTCCGGCGATGTCCGACGAAAGGTGGATGCTCCGATCTCTCACCTCTCACATACGCACGACACAGAACACAAAACCCAAGCACACTACCACCGCACACGGCACTGCACTGCACAACACACGTCCACCGTCGACTGCCACCACCAACCGTAAAATCCCCACATCCAACACTGCACAACAAGAATCACCACCACCCGCACAACACAATACCACCACAATTACCACAATAAAACCACACAATATGAGCAGAAATCATATCTCCATCTCTCTTTGCTCAGTTTTTGACATCCCATTTTAGATCGTTGGCTCAGATCGGTGAACTCAGTGCAGTTGCGAGCTCTATTCCCGCTGGTAAAGAAAATGGGGAATGGAGGAAAGAGAGAGAAGAGAGGAGGTGGCACATGGCTACGCCTCCGACGACCGCCGATCCCCAACTCCGCTGCGCAGGGACCGGAGAAAAGTCCAGATCGCCACATGGGTGCGCCACCAACGATCGCCGAGCCTCAACTCCGCCGCGCAGGGGTGCACCTCCGACGCCGGGCCTCAAATCTGGAGTTGTGGTACCGGGGAAGCTTGGAGTAGGGAGAGAGTGACGGGAGGGGGCGTGTGTAGAGAGAGGGCGGAGAAAAGTAGAAAGAGAGAGAGTAATGTGAGAAGTGAGATCTAATTAGGGTTTGTAAGTATATATTTTTAGTAAAAATATTTATTTTATTAAAATTTTAATTAAAATAAAATATCTGATTTTTGAATAACTAAACTTTGAATCTTATTTGTGAAATTGGATCTTGAAACATAGGGTTGGCTGTAATTTCCACTTGAATCAATCAGTAGAATTGATCGTTTCGAACATCAATTCACCTAAAACTACTTGGACCTTTTTTGGTATCGGGTTGGGCCTAAAATCGACCCATCCAGGCCAATCCCATGCCCAGCATATTTAGAATTATGATAGGGCATAACTTTCTCAATAAATAAATGTTTAAATTAAATATTGAGATCTGGTAAAGATGAAAATTAGGGCGAGCTACTTGCAACTCGACTCACCTTGAAGGCGGGTTTTGGGGATGATTCGAGCTTAAACAAAAACATCGACTTGAACGAGCCAACTAGCGAGCTCTTAAGTGGCTAGCTATGAGTATTGTCAAACCGATAATACAAATCGAACAAACCCAAATTGAATCAATTTGGTTGCTTCAATTTTTGCACTAGGATTGGTCGTTTTGAACATCAATTCACCTAAAATTGACTTGGACGTTTTTCGGTGTCGGGTTGGGCCTAAAATCGGCCCATCCCAGGTTAATCTCATGCCTAGCATATTTGGAATTATGGTGGGCAAAACTTTCCCAAAAAAACAACTGTTCAAGTTAAATATTAAGCACCGGTAAAGATGAAAATTATGGTGAGCCGATCGCAGCTTGACTTACCTTGAAGGCGAATTGAGCTTAAAAAAACACACTGACTTAAACGGATCATCTAGTGACTCAGTGGCTATCTACGAGTATTGCATAGGCAGCCACTATGTAGTAAGTGCCATCAAATCAGACGGAGACATCGTTTGGTTGCTTGAATTTTAATTTTTTTTCCTTTTTAAATTACAGAAAAAATTTACTTCATATTTGTCTCTCATCATTTCAAAACTAATTTTTCTACGTACTTATTTTCAATCAGATTCATAAAATAAAATATTTTACACGTAAATCTAATTTTTTTTCATATTTTTTAATTACACATTTTTCAAAAATTTATTATTCAAAACAGCATAATGTAAGAAATTTCACGGGACGAGTGGCTCGTGAGTCAGCACCGCTAGCCCACCTATAAGCGAAGCCGTGGGATAATAGGCGGAGTTGCGCCAAGTGTAGTTTCGAGAGCAAAAGTAAAAGCTCAAACTGCTAACCGTCACTCAAATCAAATCACCCATTCCCACAGCACCGCGCCTCGGCCACCGCCTCCGTCCTAAAACCCTGGAGTTAAATCCAATAATTATCAATTTCACACTCTGTAGCTGTAGAACAATGCAATCACCATGTATAAACGCCTGCAAAACCCTCAGTAGTCTCTTACTATCACACAGCCAGCAACAATTCCCTCTCTCTTTTTGTACTCGTAGGCGCAATTCCTATCCCTTTGTTTCTTGCAATTTCGACAAGAGAAATAACAATCGGAGTCCCAGTGTCAGTAAAAATAGTGGGAAATTCAAGTTTAACGATACTAATAGAGAGAGAGCGAAAGTCAAGGGCAAAGATAATGTTTGGAGCATTGACGACGAAATAGCGAAAGCAGATAGAGAGAAGGAGAAATTGAGGAGGAAAAAGAGAGAAGGGAGGAGAGTGAAGAATTTCAATAGGAAAGGTGATAGAGTCATGGTGTCTGGTTCTATGTTAATGGAGGTCGAAACGGTTTTGCAGACTCAGGTATTTCTCATTACTCTACTTTTTTCAAAATAATTCTTTCGATATTTTAATTAATTTCATGATGGTGAAAATGCTTAGATATGTTGAAGACAAGATATAAATGAATATAATTAACAACTTATGCTTTAAAAAGAGATGGTTATCGTGGTATGAGATCCACGCAAAAGACTTGGGTCCAGGCCTCGCCGCTACCATTTGTAAAATTGCGTACGCGTTAGATATTTGATCAACAAATGAATGTGGAATACAATTTTAGATGAGATTGCCGTGCCCTTCAGAATTGTGCCACTGTATCCTCAATAAATGCTATATGGTTTTGGTAGAAATTTAATGGACATGGTATAGAACTAGACTCCCTCGCTCGCCCAGATGAAATTTCTCCTACGCTCACTCTGTATATCATATCGTTCCTTCATTATACATGTTCATAGCCAGTATGGACTTGTTTCAGTGAAATCAGTTCATTTAAGTTACGTAAGCAATGAATTAGAATAGAGTTTTTCTTATAACTAGTTTTTTGCCTACATATTGTTAAATGTACTTTTCAAATTTGTTTCAACAATGCGTGGTTATGAACAGATGAGTGTATTTATATGGTTGTATATTCACTTGTGTCTCTAGGTAAAAATGCCATATGACTGAAATCTTTACAAACTGATATGCGTAGTATGGAAACCTTGGAATAATTAGCACTTGCACCATTTCATACAGTGGGCAAATGTTGCTAAATTTAGGCATTATATCATATGTATGTCCATTATATGCATTTTGGCTTGTAATGTCTCGAAAGAATCAAATTTCTTGAAGCTAGATAGCTCTCATATTAGGAATTAAGTTTGAGCAGGAAATGTTTGGGGTGAAACTGTAGAGCATGGATCAATGCTTATGGTCATGCCATAATTTGGTGAAAACCTTAGAATTCCAGATTATAGAGGATGAGGAATATGTATACAATTCTAGGGCTTCGACTCTTTCAAAATGATAATGAAAATTTGGGCTGTTTGAGATGTTGCTAAAATTTTGTTATATTCAAATATTTATCCACAGTAAGTTTTTTTTATAATAAATTTAAGTTTGACTTGAATGTGGAGGATGTAAATGCTATGTGTTTTAGCATTAGAAGCTAGTATGCTAAAAGTCCTCAGCAGTTGAACTTTTTCTGGGTTGATGATGAAAAGTATAGTTAATTTTCTGCAGAATTTCATATATTTTTCCTTTCTGCGAAATTTCTGCTCTATGGTAGCCTTAAAATTTGGTGATCGGTTGTGGTAATGTATGACACAACTAAAATTGAAATCTGATAGCAACACAAATAGAATCCAAAAACTCTTATCTTTCTATGAGGATTTTTATGATGAAGTCCAAGTAATTTGGGCATGCTCGGAGTAGGATGAAATTTTGGGCCTAACATGAAATCAAATTTGCGAAAATGGAACCACTACATAAAAACCTTATTTAACTTCAGTTTCGAAAGTACATTTGGCCAAACAAATATTACCTTCAAATGGTGATGATATTCTTTCAGGAACCAGTTATTCGACCTGCATGGAATACATTTACAAGTAGTGTCAGTGGTATATGGAAGGGAGTTGGAGCTGTATTTTCTCCAATCACTGCAGAAATGGAGCCAATTGAGATAGGGAGAAAGGATGAGAACCTATTTGACTGCTATACCCTTTCCTATATCAAGGCAACAGCAACTTCTTCTGGGGCTCAGAAATCTCAAATACAAAGAAAAATAAATTGGATTACATTGAATCCTTATGGCGAAGCTCTACTTAATGGAAGCAGTAATGGAAGTCAAGAGAAGTCCATAGACCAATCCATGACGGGAACATCCCATAAAAACTTAGCAGGTCACTCTCTGCCAAAACTTGAGTCCTTTGACCTTTCCAGGAGTGATGTGATGGAAGAAGATGTCATGGGAAAGGAACCTGGCCTTGTCTTCTTCGAGGTAAAACTAATTCATCTCGTTGACTTTATTCCATACTTTTCAGTAGTTTAGAAAAGTACTTAATTATTATCGTAGAAGAGGAAATATTGATTTAGTCCTTGTTTGAAAGTGATATTTGAAACTCACTTTCCTCCATACTCATTTTCAGCCCCACATTCTTAAAAAAATGATAGATAATAATAAAAAAATTATTTTTCACGTTTCTCTGTAACTTTTCCCCACTTTTTAACTACACATTCTCCAAAGAAAATCATTTTTCAAACACACTTTCGCACAAGCACTTAATAATATTACGGCATAATAGTGGATAATGGAGGATACATAGTTATCATATCATCAAGATGATCTTCCACTTGCCTGAACTAAATAAATAGGGTGTTCGAAAGAGAACACATCATTATTAAAAAATTTCAGTGCTCCTCTTGCAGGATGGATCTTATTCAAGAGGCCCAGTTGATATTCCTGTGGGAGAAATTGATGAATCTAAATATTACCTTTCCCCAACTTTCAAGTTTGAACAAGTATGTCTGTCTTGGCATTTAAGTTTTCTATGTTCTTTTTACTTATGAATTACTTCTGAACATAGTATTTTCTGTGTTCTCTTTCCTTTATGAATTACTACTGAACATAGTATATTCTATATTCTCTTTTCTTCTGGATAACGGTTGAACATAGTATTAACTTAGCTATGGCAAGTAATCATGGGCATAAAATATTTCCCGTCTTGCCAATGATGTATTTTCTGACTGCCAGTGTTCTTGCTTTTTCTCCAGGAAGATGAAAATGATAGATGATTATAACATGTTAAAATAATGTTTAAAATTGTGCATAGAAGTTAATTTATAATCTTGAAATGTTATTGTGCATATGCCAGTTTTAACATGAACTACAATTCATGACTAAAGCTGATTTCCTTTTCAATTTTGTGTTCATGCACAGTATTGGTGCAACTCTCCCTTTCTCTTCAAATATGTTCTTCTTGGATATCGTCGTTCCTTAATGTAGGAACTTCTTTAGGTGTGCAAGTCATTCCTACCACCAAACTTATTCTCATTAGGAGCAATCTTTACTTGTTGACATATATTTCTTATTTTTCCATTTTAATATGGCCACATAGACATGCTCATGTGTGCCCTGTTTGTCTGGTCATTTTGCCCTGAAGATATTAATTAGATGTTCTGTGGGAATCACATAGTTTTTCTTTTTCGAAAAGGAAATTTCTCTTTTCTAATAATTTGTTTCTTGATTACCTACTTATTCTTTTTTTTCCCCCTTATTACGCAAGTGAGGATGCTTTCTTAATTTTTAATGTTTGAAATCCTTAGGTGCTGCTTGTTAATCTCCATCTCTTTATTTTCCTTCTTTAATGGCCTAGTATTTTTCAACACCAAGATTGGCGATTCTTATTTTTGATAATGAAAAATAAATTTTCTGAAAAATTAAATGCAACTTATTATGTAGATTAAATTTGTTCCATTAATAATTTTTTTAGTGTTTTGTTAAACAGTCCTGTATTAGATAGATATTTGTAAGTTTCTTCACTGACACAAATCAAGCTGCTATCTCCCAAAACTTGCCCGAAAGGCGGCAGCTGGCAGAGCTCTGTTTGCTTCTGTATCTATATTTATTTTTTATCTAAGTATCTAAGGTTGGAGGACAACCATTTTTGGAATTTAGATCTTCTAATATTTATATATTTCTTTAAAAATCTTTTAAACGGCCTATGGCCTTTAAAAGAACATATACATCCAATAGCAATATTTCGAAATTTTAGTCTTCTTATCCTAAATTCCATTCCATGTAATGGAGCCATTTTATACCCAAGAAGGGGAATTATTATGTTTTCTTTGTTTCCTTTCTAGTGCTTGGTTAAAGGGTGCCACAAAAGACTGCGAGTGGTGCATACTGTAGAGTTCAGTAATGGGGGTTCAGATATCCAAATTATGAGGGTTGCAATTTATGAAGAACAATGGGTTGGTCCAGCCAATATCTCTGACAACAGGTACCATCTTCCATTAAAGAATAAAATTATTTTTTCCCCTACAATTTGGATGATGCCAATATGTTCCAAGGTTCCTTGATCCCCTTAGAAAATTTATTGCTAAAATTTGTTTAACAATAAGTTACTTTGCTTTGCAATGACAAAATTGTGATTCTACATTATGATGATATTATAACTTGATTTAGGGGTAGGTCATTCAATTTGAAAAGTCTAGCCGGAAGGGGAAATCTCTACAGGGATTAGCTATGTGATTGTTTAGATTATGTGACTTCCTTTGAAATTTGAGAAAAATGATTACTTATCTTCTTCTTCTGAGTCATTATTTCTTCGGTCCTTTGGGGCAGAATATTAGGGAATCCTATCTTCCTTTTCTTGGCTTAGTGATGCATACACAAGTGCCCCAAAATTCATCAATTCTGTTATGTTGATTATATAATTTGAGAGTCAGCTCTTAAATCTTCAGAAGAGCTTTTATTTGATTATTTGGAGGGGAAAATTTTTAGTTATGGTAATTCCTTTATTTCCTGCTAATGATAGGAAAAAATGCAATTTCAATTTGTAGCTTTGCCTTCTTAGCTTGGATTAGAACAAAAATCTGTTTCAAAAACTAGGGAAACTGCTTTAAGAGTTTGAAGACGTTGGGAAAATGTTTATACTACTTTCAGAAAATGCATCTCTCTCTGTCTCCCATAAACTAGTGTGTTTTTGTGAATATTGATATGTGACCTTGTCATATTTTCCTTTTCATATTAATCCTTAATTTTCAATATATATTCATTTTAGTTTTTGGGATTATCTTGTTTCAGTATAACCAGTGTATTTTCCCGCCTAATTTGTTTTTTTATCATTTTTTTTTTCGCTTCTGCTTGTATCTGCTTTGATGTATCTGTCCTGCAGTTTCTTTGTTCAGCATTCAGGTTATATCAATCCCAGTTTGAAGTTCGAAACTATAATATGCATGCCTCTACTTCCTTTAGATGTTCCTATCTTTTCTCCTCCATAACATTTTTACAATTATGACAGTGACCTCGAGGCAGACTTGAGGCCATTTTCTCAGAGAAAAAGAGTTCAACCATCAGAGCTGACAGGCTCCTGGAAGGTTTTCGAGATGAGTGCAACCCCTATCTATGGTGAAGAAGAGATTGCAGCCGAGGAAAGTAATGGCACACCGTACGTGTATCTCTGCACTGAGAATCTAAAAAAAAGAAGCTTGCCGGAAAATCCAGTTTACTTTCGAGAGGAAGAGATGCTGGACATGCAAGATGTTACTGTCATGTGGCTGCCTGGAGGCGTTACTTCCTATGTTGACGTGAATAAGGATGGAATCCTTTGTATTGGTGTTGGATGGTATTCGGACGAGGGAATCAACCTTGTTATGGAAAGGGACTATGGATTAGATGGGAAACTGAAGGAGGTTCGATGGAAATCTGAAATGAAGAGAAGATGGACTAATCCACCTCCCATGTAAAATTTGCCACTGTGTTTAGCTATTTTGTTTATATTACTCGCCTTCCATGCTTTGAGATCCAGAGATTAAAGGGAATCAAATGCAAGCTATTCCTTACTTTTTTTTTTCAATAAAAAGGTCAGGTATCATTAGGCTCTTGTGTTCGCGTTTGGTTCTTTGTGAATGTTACCTTTTCTGATGCGAAGTTTACTTCCATAATTTGACGTCTCAGTGTATTACATCCAATCAGTAGGCACTTATGTGCATTTGAAGAAATAAAGAGTTATCATGCAGCTATCTCATATTATAACTTTCATAAAATGAAGTCTTCGCCTAGTTGTAATGTACGTAGAATTAACTAAAAGAGAAATTAATGAAGTCAAATTTAACAAATGAAACACGTAGTTGACAATACCTATCTAAATGGTAAAAAAAATTGCCATCAATCGGCTGCTCAAAATGGTTACAATAAAAATTGAAGAGCCTCACACTGTCACCAATTTGAGTGGAACTTTTAGCAATAACTTCAATTTGAAGTGTGTAGCTTTATAGTTGCTTCCTTGAGACCAGAAAAAGGCCGTACATGATATGAATCTGGTAATCTCCTTTGTCCATTTTCCACCAAGTATGGAAGTATGTATTCTTTCATTTCACCATAAGAAATTTCAAGATGATAACCAGATGCTTTCAAAAACTTCACCTTCCCAGCTTCGTCCAATGATTTCACACCGATCCAATCTTCGGTATAGAGGGTAGTCTGCAAGGGGTTCAAAATGCACTATCGTTAGCACAATCCAATCTTTGAGACAACAGTTAGGGATGTCAAAATGGGCCAGGCCATTTGGCCTGCTCGGTGTTATGAATCAAAAACAAAAATAGAGAGCAACGGATCTATGAGAGACAGGTCTGTAGGTCTGTCCCACCTCAGGACTGGCCTTGTTGAAAAATATGAGTTCCGTATCCTTATACAGGTCTGGCCTGTTAGACACCCCTAAATGTTCAGCAAAGAAGTTTTTGCATGAGGTGGTTTAACCTTGTCAATTTAATTAGATAGAGGTCATGTATTCAAGTTTTAGTACCAACTACTTATGACAATTTCACGTCGCAAGTTAAAAGCAAACATTACCTCTTGTGCAGGCAAAACAGTGCTCCAGGAACCATCTGGGTAATACCCAAACCAGGAGGTCTCTTTTGGTACCAGAATTTGATCTTTCTCAAACTAATTAGGACATTGAAGAAAATATAAACTTGAGCTTTATAATATACTTTTCAAGGTCTGTGAATACAATTCAAATGATATTGTACTTGAGGAGCAAAAACAGATCAGAGTAAATATCGTGACTTACCATGATAAGTACCAAATTCTGCAAGCTAGAAAACCGTTCCTTGTATGTGGAATTCCTATGCATTTCATTATTAAGTTCAGGGAGAAACTTGCATCCTTTTCTATAGTCATCTAGGTCCTACAAAGCAGAAAATAATATGAGAACTAGCAATGAGACGACTCTGTTATTTATGCTCCAAGTGATGCTCACTGCTGATACAGAAATTCAAAAACATCTGGTGCAAAATTGAGCTAATAGATAAATTATAAGCAGACAAAAAGTCGTCTTAGACATATTGCTGAGCAATGATCAATTTATCTAAAGATTGTAATTTTAATGGAAGAATAATACTCACAGTGGGAATTTTGATGTAATTAGCTGGTGCTAAATGTTCCTGCAATTGAACACCAGGTTTGTGATTCAGGTATTAAGTACCATCAAGGGAACACATCAACATTTTCTTTCACAAACACAGAAACGAAGATGATGAAGAATAAGAAGAAACTGGACAAAAATGGACAAAATGCAGGTTAACAGCCTCAGGAACTCGTAAACACAGTTTTTAATTTTAAAATGTCTCTGCTTTTTCGGAATTGATATGCACTGTATCAAAAGAAACTGTGAACCTGGACGAAGTTGCTGTAGACCGCCAATTCAAGCAAAAAGTCAACAAGAATGCATACCACAGTAGACTGCAAAATAGGCAGGGGAGTCAAAATCAAGGTTGTAAAAATAGACCATTTGGAAATTTCACACGCCATAAAAGAAAACAGGTAGCATTAAATGGACTGTGTTAGTTTTTTCATGAAACGCCTATAAAATCTAAATTTATCCGATAGTGACTATAACCAACATATGAACATAGCTATTATCTTACCTTCTGAAGCATTAGACTGTTAGTAAGTTACTTACAAATTAAAACTTAATAAAGACAATAACTCATAAAATCTACATTAAGTTTTCTAATTTGAGTTAACCATAACAAAAGCTATGAAATACTTTAACCGTGCATATGCATGAAGCATACTTTCCTTCACACATAAAGCAGGCGTAATTCAAGGATGGACAGTAGATACAGGAAGAAGGAGAACTTACTCCACAAAAGGGAACAGAAGCTATCCCAGCATGTGGACCTGCCAGAGATATCAAATTCCTCACCTGTCTCAAATTAAGAAAATAAATAATATAGAGTTCAAACTTGTAAATGCATACAAGTACTTAATTTTGTTTGGTAATCATAACGGTAGGAGAAAAATGTTTCTTTAACTGAAACTGATACAAACAACGAGCTGGTAATTATAGGTGACTTCAAAATCAACTTTTCTATACCACGAGTGCCTGGTCATTTATAATTTGATGACGCCACAGAGAAAAAAGAGCATTTTGAGTAGAACCTCTTGTAGTTTACATCATCATAACAAAGTTTTTGTGATTTGTTACCACTTCAGGTTGAGTTATACACTTATACTGTACGTGTATGCCATCATGCTCATATCTCAGTTATGCCATAACTTAATGGTACATGAAAAGAATGAGGCGGGTAGCGTAAAATTTCAAATACTTACAGGAGGTCCTCCATCACAGAATTCTAGGATTCCCCTGCCAACCATATTGCCCTGAAAAGTATAAGAATGGAATGAGATCTCTACCAATGTGTGGAAAAGCTTCAAATTAAATATGAAACAAAGTATTTTCACATTTAATCCAACTAAAACGATTTAGATTGTCCAATAGATCTAGCAATGAACCAAGTGAAGTGGTGGAAAAGGGTTCATGCAGCTGACCCCAAATTTATTGGAAACGAGACTTGGTTTGTTATTGTTAATACAACGAGAAAGATTTGAGTATCAAAATCTATTATAATTTCATTCATTTAGGTTTTGTTCTACAGTGAACCGCGTAGTTAAATTCTCTATGGAATTTCATCACATTCTTGACATTAATATATATCTTATAATTCACAGAAAACAAAGCTTGATGCCCATAAAGTGTACAAACTAGAGCCGAGCCACCCCCATCCCCATCCCCCAAAAAATATACCCCAGCTCATTGGCCCTTCAATGATCTTTTCTTCTATTACATTCAACACCAACAAACTAAGTCTTGTTCCCAAAAAGAATATATATGCTCTCAATTCCTGTAAAGATTGATCAAGCATATTGTATGCTTTAAAATTATTTTTTCTGAGTTCCTATAACTGAATCAAATGTTAATAGAACATTTTTTCCCAATGGAAAGGTAGACTTCAGACAAATTTAGACATAAAATAAATATTGGAAGAATAAAACAATTTCACATGCAAACAATGCAGAAGAGTAAATGATTGGGGTGTTCTGAATATGGTCTTTAACCTGTGAAAGTCCAATTATGTTGTACCCATCTTTGAGCTCACTCATTTTCTTCACCTGTAAGTTGAAGAAAATACCATCTGAAAAAAGGAATTCCGGTTCAGTGAAGTAAACACGTTATCAAAAGTTTAGTACCTTCTCACAGGCAATGGCCGTCTGAAAGTACAAAAACAGAAGCATGTTAAATTATCACTAAATAGGGTGTTAGAGAAGCATAATCATAACAAGGTTGTTTGATAAGCAATCAATCACCTGTTTTTTGAACGGCATAAACCACGAATCCCATTCACCATTTCCGATTTCACTACACAAACAGACATAGGACAAAGAAGGAAAAGAAAGAGAGATTAAATGAACGAATAGTGAACAGCTAGTAACACAATTAGACACATGGATGAAAAATGAAAAATGCATATTGGGCAAGTACATTGGCACATATATACAACAGTGTTCCATTTTCGGAATTTCATTTCATCCATAAAAAGTTGGAAAATATGGTAGAAGGCTCTAATGGATCAATTGATATGTGGACTTGAATTTTTCACAAAAATTGAAAGCAATTAATGCTTACATGCAGTATCCTTGGGAACCAGACCAGTTGCTCAGAAGCTCTGTAAATTGTGAGACTCCTTTATTCCTGCACTTGTCTGAGATTCCTGCAAAATTATATTTCAACTAAGAACAATACCTAGTTACTCAATCATGATATGTACTTCGCCCTTAGAACTTGCACAAACTGCACTGAATCTTGTTACATTACAATGAATACAGAAAAAACATGATTTGTCAAATAGAACTGGACAGCTGGTGCAAATTTGAATATGATTCTTCTTAAAAGGGACAAATTTACTATGTACAAACCGTGATTGTGCTATGCTTCAAATGATTCCCCTTAAAAAGAACATTTTTTTTACTATGTCCAAACCTTGGATTCTGCTATGCTTCAAATGATTCCACTTGCTATACATTTATTGTACTTGGCAGGTAATATAGAAACTTATTAGCAAAACGCATTGCTAAGATTGAAGTTTTAACACACAATTCACAATAAAATGTCAAGAAATATATAAATGGCATTCATTTTATAATACTTTTGTCTATTGTCACACTTCAGGTGTCAAAACGTGCCGCGGCCAATACCCGGTTTGGATAATATTCAGTGTCCCTAAAAAAGGACCTTACCAAGCTAAGGTGGATCACCATGGTGCGGCCAATTAACACCTCTACGTCTTACACTCGTAAGATTTATGGTTCAAACAAAAAAAGCATCATCTCGTAAAATAAATACCAAATTTATAAGCAATCAAAGCTTACAAATTACATAAAGGAGCAAAATGATTCCAAGGTACACATTAAAAGCAGAAATACAGACACAATGGTTCAATTTTGGGTGATTATTGTACAACTGACTGTCCAGAAACAGAATTACAATGTAGAAATAATACAAAGGCGAAAAAAACACAATACCATAGTACTATGAAAAATAGCTACTTATTGACTGCAACAGAACCGAATAGAATCAAAAAGCAGAAAAAAAATTACCATGAAAGACAACGAAAGGTATAGCATATGTAGTTCTTGGTATGCATGTCAATGTAATGATGATGAAAAGGGATGTGAAAATAATCAAGAAAGATTTGAGAGCCATGTTTTTTTTTTGCAGAAAGGAAAAGGAGTTAGGATAAGGTAACGAGCGGCCACTTGTTCATTTGGGTTTGGATTTGCTTTAGAGAATGAGACATTAATCAAGAAACGTGCAAAACTAAGAGACAGTGATGGGTACATTTGCTGTTTAGGTGAGAGACAATTCAACGCAGTGGACAGCTCGTAAAAGCTCGGATATTTGGAGAAGATTCGATTTTCTATTTTACCTTTCCGTTTTTATGTTTATTGTCAACGAGGGCTATTTGATAGGGATTTTCATTTTTTATGGTAAATCAATTTTCAGTTTTAATTACATATTTTTCATCATATTAATAAATTTTTTTCTTTTTTAACCACACATTTTCCATCATATCACTATTCAAAATCAATTCTTTTCTAAAAAAATCCCTACCAAACAAGCTCTAATATAATACCTTTAAAATACAATTTGTTTCAACTAAATAAAATTGTTATAACTTAATATTATTGCTTTCAAACAATGCCCCTGTTTGACATCAATTTTTTATCTCATTCTCATTATCATTTTTTTACAGTACTCATTTCTTATTTCATATCGTCATTTCTACTTCATCTTCTTTGTAAAACCTTATTCTCCATTTTTGAAATTAAAGTTTTCTTCTTCCTCTTTTCATCATCTTCAACCCACCAAAAACTTTAAAGATTCGAAATTTGTGCATCAACGTTTTCTTCGATGATAAAATTATTGGCTTTGAATTAGTATTGAGAAAAATCAAGAAAAATGAGTACTGAAATCAATTGTAAATGGCTTCAACGCACTCTTCTTCTGCCGGAAAACCTGCCTCCGGCGACACCCATGGTCGTGCACACCACCAGTGGATAGCACTCACCCAGACTACAAACACCATGACTTAACATCGACCAATAATGCACCAATTCGATGTGCTGTTGCTCAAAAAGGTCTGTGTCGCGAT